CCTGAGTTATTGTAGTCAGTGTTGGCAATGTTGGATTCCTTGGGTTGTGATTTTCCTTCTATTACTTTCTGTAGGGCTGGATTTGTGGCTACATATTGTTTAAATTTGTTCTTATCCTGGAATGTCTTGTTTTCTCCATTGATAATGAACATTGGCTTGGCTGGGTATAAAAGTTTGGGTTTGCATCCATGGTCTCTTAGTTTTTGAAGTACCCCTATCCAGGACCTTCTGGCTTTCATGGTTTCCATAGAGAAGTCAGGTGTAAGTCTGATCGGTTTACCTTTATAAGTTACTTGGCCATTTTCCTTTGCAGCTCTTAATATTCTTTCTTTAAACTGTATATTTTGTGTTTTGATTATTATATAGTGAGGGGATGTTTTTCTTTGATCCAGTCTGTTTGGTGTTCTGTATGCTTCTTGAATATTCAAAGGAATATCTTCTTTATGTTGGGAAAGTTTTCTTCCATAATTTTGTTAAAAATATTTTCTGGGCCTTTGAGCTGTGATTCTTCTCCTTCTTCTATTCCTATTATTCTTAGGTTTGGTCTTTTTATTGTGTCCCATATTTTCTGAATGTTTTGTGATGAGAATTTTTTGGCTCTGCTCTTTTCTTTGATCAGTGCATTTATTTTCTCTATGTTGTCCTCAGAATCTGAGATTCTTTCTTCTATCTCTTGTATTCTATTGTTTATGCTTGTTTCTGTAGGCTCTGCTCATTGACCTTGATTTTCCATAGCCGGCTGGTCCTCAGTTTGTGTTTTCTTCCTTGCTTCCATTTCAGTTTTCAATTTTTGAACTGTTTCCATTACCTGTTTGATCATTTTTTCTTGGTTTCCTAGGTTCTCATATACGTATTTACTCATTTCTTCAAACTTTTTGTTATACTTCTCATCCATTTCTATAAGGGTGTCTTTTACATGTTGTTTAAGGGACTCTATTGCTTTCATAAAGTCAATTTTTTCCACTTCTGTGTTAGGGTGTTCAAGTCCTTCTGTTATAAGATCATTGGGTTCTGATGTTTTCATGTTGTTTTTCAGATTACTGGGTGAATATTTACCTTGGCGCCTGCCCATCTCCTCCTATTGATGCTATCTAATCCGTCTTTTAAAACCAGATCAGGTTTCTCTGCTGGCCAGAGGCTCCTCTTACAAAATGCCCTTGCTCTGTTTCCTGGCTCCTGCCTGGGGCCAAGATCCCTCTCACCCCTCAGAAGGGTCTTCAGGAACAGGAACAGGCTCCCCGTTTGCCAGGGACCTCGACAACCAAAGCCTACCTTTTTGATTTGATTTAATTGTCGTGAGGCAATCTGCTCTCAGTGTTGTGCACTGGTCCCTGCCACCTCTGTCATCTGCTGCCGCACCAGTCCCTGCAGGTCCCGTCTGCCGCCTTGCCTGGTTCGGTCGTCTGCTGCCATGCCTGCGTCGGTCCTCAACCGTGCTACTAAAGTCTGTGACAAATTCAGTGGCCTTGCCAAAGGTTTGCATATATAGAATTCTTAGACAAAGAGTCAGTGAGGACTTCCCTGGCTTTAGATGATTCCCATGTTGTTGTTCTTCAGGTCCCCAAAGCTCTCAGTTCATCATTGCACAGCAGCAGCAACTGCTCCACAGGACAGGAAATCACTGCTGCCAGCTCCCCTTCAAAGTCCTGAAATGCCATTTTCAAGAATAATTTTCTGGAAACTAATGATTTGTATTTGGTTCTGCATCATCTCTGTTTTGCTTCAACTTTCACAATCTACCTCCCAAACAATGCTCAGTGTTTATCTCAAAAAAGAAGCACAGGTACGCCAAAGACCTACTAGGTAGCTCAGAGGTGTTGTAAGGGAAAAAACAACAATAAGTACAAACCAAGAAAACATAAGAAGCACACCTCTTTCCTTGGGGAACTCACAAGTCATCATCCTGTCTCTTCTTCTCTACTCTTACAGAGGGGCAAGAACACGTAGTTCTGATGGACTTTAAGGTATATAACCCAGCCCAGAGGGGCAAAAAATGTTATTTTCTGTTGTCACTATGCTTGGCTGTTTGATAAGGGGAATTAATTGTGGAATCTAGAAGCCAGGGCTCTCATTCTTCTGGAATCTGATAAGCCATGAGTTATGGATCATAATTTCTGGTTGTGTTTTTTCCCAGATGTCCTCTCTCACTCGGAGTTTGGAAAATAGCATCTACTGATGTCACAAGAACCACCTAGTAATGACCTAAGAGGTTTCTATGAATTTTCAATCTTGGAGATCTGAGTGAAAATTGGATGGCTTGTGATTTCCAGCCATTTTCCTCAGAGATCAAGCTTTGACACTATGGTGCTTACAAATTAGTTCAACAGTGATGATGTAGGCTTATTGCAGATATACATTATTGTCCTCTTTTATGTTATTATTTGAAAAGTTTATACACATACATAATGTGTATTTATCAAATTCATTCTGGTTCATTTCCCTATAATTTTTCCCTCATCATCCTGACACTCTGCCCTCTCAATTTCATCTGTTCTTTTCTCATACTGCTTTTTGAACCTACTAAGTTCACTCAACATTACCAGTATCTATGCATGTAGGGATGTCTATGTGAGTTTAGGTGGCCCCTCAGGTGACATATCCTTGAAGAAAAATTACTAGGTTTATACCAGTAACCATCTACCAACAGTTCCTCAGTTATAGGTGAAACTTCATGACCATATCCTCCCTCCACGCTTGGATTTTGGTGGGCTTGATCTTAGCATATTTGCATATTGTTCCAACCACAGAAAATGCATTTGAGCAGTGAACATGTTAAATCCTGAAAAAATAATATCACCTCTGATTCTTCCAGTCTTCCCATTCCCATTTCCATTAAGATCTCTGAATACTGAGAGAAATGTGGAGGTTCCATGTAGGACTGAGAACTCACAGTCCCTTATCTACCTGTTGACCAGTCTTGGACATCTGTGTTAATTGCCATCTCCTGCCAAAAAAAAAAAAAAAAAAAAAAAAAAAAAAAAAAAACAATAGTTTCTGTGTGATTATTCAGGTCTGGGTGGCTGGGAAACAAAAGCACAGTCTCTGTCTACAAACGGCACCCAAACACTTAGCAAGAATTTCCACATAAATTCTGAGAAAATTTTTTAAAAATGGATTCTAGACAGACAAAAGAACACATCAACCATGGCTTCTTGATTGTAGCTTTGTTTCTGGTGAGCTCTATCTCTTAGAGACAAACAGAGGTGTGGCTCCTTTAGGAGAGGTTTCCTGACTCAGCATTAGCAATAAAAACTGTACCGTTCATTTAGCTCATTTAGAGACCCTGTCAACAAACCCTTTGTATGAGCAACTTGACATCATGCTTCTTGGTGGTGGCATGGACCTAGAAACTCCACAGTATTCTGGTAAAAAACGTGGCTCTTTCCAGTACTTCTGCCATGAAACTAGATTCTCATGAAGCTAACTAGTGGGGTGGATATAGTTACCAAAGTCACGACTTTAATCCTAGCCATATCTTTCAGCAAATTAAAGACTTCTGTGGTCAGAAAAAGAGAGATATGCAGTAAAGACAAATTCAGATGGAAAAAAATTCTAAAGAGTTTATAGTGTGTTTAAAAATACACATAGGTTTGGGAGAAAAGAAGAAGGATAGAAACAGTCCTTTAAAAAAAAAAAAGAAAGTGGGTGGGTGTGGTAACACACATCTTTAATCAAAGAACTTCGGAGGCAAAGGCAGGCCGATCTCTGTGATTTCAAGGAAAGCTTGGTCTACAAAGTGAGTTCCAAGGCAGTCAAAGATACAAAGAGAAACCTGTCTCAAAAAAATAAAAAAAATTAAATTAAAAATAAAAGAAAGAACAAAAAATTAAAGACACATAAAGATGGAAAATACATAGAAAATCTGGATACTGTGTTTTATTATTTTGTCTTTGAATTGATTGACTTCTGACTCCCATAGCAGAATATTCTATTTAAGATATAAAGAAAAACAAAACCAAATGCTCAAATGAATCTGAAATATTCCCGAATCTCCAAAATTATTAAAGGACCAAAAATTCCTTGGGGAAAACTTGAGATGTTCTCTTCAGGATCAACATTCCTTGAGGTCCCATGGTGATAAGGACTTGATGATTCATTAGAATATGTTCCATATAAAATATTAAGAACTTATTTTTTGTTGATTTAAATTTGAATTTTTTTTTAAATTCATTTCTCTCCTCCTGTCCATGCACATTACTTTCCAGCACTGAGAATGGTAGGCAGTAGAGTGAAGCTTCTAGCTAGGCACCATCTGTTTGTCTCCAAGTTCAATGACATAAGTGGTGTCAGCAACAAGACCTTATTCTTTGTTTGTTGGAGGAGAGCAATAATAATAGCCTATCAATGGCCTGTAATGTCTGGGGAAAAGTCTCTGAGACCCTTTTGGTCAACAAGTTAACATCATATAACCCCTTCATGGCATTGGAGGTTTTAGTTGGTAGCACAAAAGTATCTAGTTGAAGTATTGTCTCCCCCAATATTTGGTGACATCTTCGTATTAGGAAGTTTCTAGAGTAAAAGTGCTCCACACAACTTTCAAAATGCCTTCAGTGTTATCTTGCCTCTTTACTTGAAGTTATCCCCCATAAACTCAGGCTCTTACAAACTTTTTTGTTAGTTTTCTCATATTCTATGAGAAAGTCTCATATGTGTCTTTGCATGTGTGTGTGTACCTATATATAGTACTTTGATGATATCAATGCCCATTCCTTCTCTAGCATTCTTATAGCCCATCTACTTCATCCTCCTCTCAAATTAACATCCTTTTCTTATCACTCATTTAGTCATATCAGTGCTGTTTCTGTCATCATTGATATAAAACCATTCACTGGAGTATGGGCATTCTAACAATGTTACTTCCCTAAAAATACTGGCTCTCCCTATCCTAGCACTTGTTAGGTGATATAGGAACATGAATTATGAAGAAAAGGCTCATGAACCCATACCACTATCTCAGAAACTATTGAGTATTGATAGCTGCTAGTATTAAGAGAGTTACTTTTCTTTGATGATATGACCTCTGTCAAGTTAGTAATATTCAAGTTGTTGACCCCAAACCCATGAATATATATCCAACATATATACAGCTAGATGAATAGTTTAAAAACAAGTAAAAGCCAAGTGATGGTGGTGTATGCCTTTAATCTAAGCCCTTGGGAGGCAGAGGGAATTGGATTTCTGTGCATTCAAGGCCAGCCTGACCTACAAGGGCTGGTTCTAGGACAGCTAGTGCTATTAAACACAGAAACTCTGTCTCAAAAGACAAAAACAAAGGCAAAAAAATCAAAAATAGGTCATGAAATCAGGATAGGATAGGAAGATTAGAAATGAATTGGGATAAGGGAGAAGTTAGGCAAATATGATCAAAGTACATTGTATGATATACTCAAAAATTTATTAAAATGTCATACTAGGAAAGAGCCTGTTGTCATAATTGTTCAGTCTGAGTGACTTAAGCAGAGAAGTCAACCTAATAAATACACAAATAACCATAAAAATAAATGCTCATTTAAACAAACTAAACTTCATGAAAATTTGGAGCTAAAATCCTTGGGCATAAAATGCTAGTAACTTCTTAATGATTTCTTAATGTAAGTCCTACCTCATCAAAATAATATTTGTGGTAGTTAGGTGAATGGGCTCTGCAGCACAATGCATTCATTTTACCCGTGATCAAATCTCAGATCTACCTTTTTGTGTCTGAGTTTCCTCCTTGTAAAATAGAAGCAATAGCAGTAGCATCATGGATTTAGGCGAGCTTTTTAAAATCTCTTAAAATGTATCTAGTGTACAATAACTCAATAGGTAGTAACTACTATTATTTTAGCATAATAATGGTAAATATAAATGCATTTTATTTATCCAATATAATTTGAATGTGTTGTTACATGTAATAATTTCCATATGATTTTTATATGTGTCAATAATGTAGGTGAAAATATAAAAAGGTTACACAAATATTTTAAATGGAACTACTAGCAAAGTAACTAGAAAAATTATTGAAATTTTGACAAGTCACGTCTTATCTATGTTAACCCCTATGTAAAAAATAAATTCATCAAATAAAAATATGCATATGCAAAATTATTACACAAGATTGGGAAAGAAATCACACTGAAATAAGAATGCAAATCATGGATTGTCTTGGGGGAAAAGATATGCAAAAGAAAGAAGTAGGTGATCTTGGCATTAAGTAAATAAATAGACAGAGTATGGTCTTTCACTGATATAGGCAATGAATACCATGCTGAATACAATGACTATGTGGATACCTACAAAGAATGGTTGCATATAATAGACATTATATAGAAGAAAGAAAGGGGATACTGTATAAAACTTGGGGCACTGTAGAAGCATGAAAAGAGTGAAAAATAAAACATAGGTAATGAAAACAACAAATAAAAAATCAAAGGGGAACAGCAGGCAAGTGGAAACAGACATAAAAGAATCAAACCTAAATTGAGCAGTTAGTGAGACTCTGCA